TGCAAGCAAATTTACTTTCTAAAAATCTTCAATAAGTTAGGTTTTGTTCAATTAATAAAATTTCTAAAATCAAGTATTAGAATAAGTAAATAAATAATGATAAAAATAGCATTTTCTTAAAAAAAAGAATTACTTTTGCTTTAAAAATAACTGTTGACGATTTTAAAGAAAATGATAAGCTCTACATATGAGATTTGCTGAAAGCAAGTTAAACATGCCTTTGTGTACATTTTAATCGCCAAGTCATTTCCTCTGCGTTTATCATTAACAAAGGAAACTTTAAGCTTATCGGAGCCACACCCGCTGGTGAATTCGATTCGAGAATTCGAATCCAACAAGCTGCAAATTTTCGCACGCTGCTCTAAAAAGCATGATGAACTGAATGATGATGACGATGAATGCGTCGGGACCAATCAAGTGCCACGTTGAACGCAAGTCGTTTGCAAGGAGGCAAGTGGAAGGAAAAAAACATGAAGAAGTATCTACAATTGCGGCTACACATGTAGTTGTAGGATAGCTGTAGAGGCAGGGCCCGAGAGCTGTGAATTATCCTGCCTCAAAGTATTTAATGCGCTCGACACATGGCAACGCACAAACTTGCCGCACAGACAGACAAACAAACAGACAGACAGACAGACAGACATACAGGCAGAGCAATTGAAAGGCAAGCAAGACGGGTAAAAAATTGTATTCGAGCAAGCCGAGTAAGCGAAGGAAGTGGAAGTGGCTGTGCATGTGAATGTGGATGTGGTTGTGGCAGTTGCAGTCGATGTGGCAGTGGCATAAGTAGCAAGGCAAAAACATTGGAAACATTTGATCATTACTCATAAAAACAAACAGCGCGTGGTGCGGGACGAAATGTAAACAGTTGAACGAAGAACTTGTGGAAAATATGTACAAGATTGTGAGCATTATACAAACTACAGCAGAGACCTATTAATAACAGTCAAGGCCTAGAAGGAAATTCTATAAATACTTAGTTCTACATTCAAATAACTGGTTCTACTTTAATTTGCCATTCAGTTACGGCATTATCATTCCTAACTGGCTTCTCTTGTCATTGCTAATAATTGGTGAGCAGGCAAATTTCAAATGGAATTAAAAATAAATTTGAAAAGTATTAAAATATTTGCTACAAATTAAACGGATTAGAAGTAAACAAGTTTAATAAATGCTTTGCTAAAATTTTCTTCAACTGAAAATCATTTTCTGAATGTCAACACTTACGAGTATTTACCAATATTTCTAAAATAGCAGAACACAAATTTTTAGGCATAACTTCTATACAATCATAAACAAATAATATGATACATTTCAATATTATTTAAAATATATGATACAACTTTTGAAGTCAAATCACATTAAACTTTTCAATTTGTCAATATAAAAGGAAAATAATTTTATCAGGAAACAATTTAAAGCAGTCCTTCAATATTTCTAAAAATATAAATAACAACTTTTAAACGCAATCATTTCAAAGAAAGATAAGTTTAAAAACTATTTTTATAATCACATAAAATTTTGATAAAATCTAAAAATTTGAATTCCATAAAAGCATTTCGATTTCAAAAGTTTTACTTCACAAATGAATAAAATAAATTATAGTTTTTAATTTCCGAATCACCATTAAGCTACTAAACAATATTTTAAAAAATAATTTTTAATATATCTTGAAAACTTTGTTTTGTAATATTTTTAGTTTAACACTTTTTAATTTTTTAAAGTTCAGATCATAAAGGATTTAATTTTTTATAAATTAATAATTTGATTATTTGTAAAGTTATGGTTGAATTTAAAATGTCTAAACTCTTGATTAATGAATGACATTTTATTCAACATGCAGGCTAATATAAATAAATAATAATTTGAAGCATAATAAGTAACTATTTTTTCACTCTGTTGAGAGTTTCAAAAATACACTTACTTTGCAAATAATTTTGTTAGACAATTTGGTTTTTAAAATCATACTTTTTAAAACACATTTCTTTTATATATTAAATGAATTTAATTTTGCTTTTCTGCCAAAAAAAAAAAAAATTCTCTTACAGATCTGAAGATTTTCGACATTTTCTTCATTAATACCAATATTTAGTTTAATATTGTTATATTTTGTTGTAACGCATGTTTGGCTTCTTAATCAATTATCGATCGCTTTTGTCATCAGAAATAAATTGTTTTAAAAGACAGTTTTTTATGGGCTCTTCACCCAAGACAATTCCTCAGTGGGAGGTTCGACTGTAAAAGCGTAAGCAATGAAGCATGTGGCAGACGAGCGACCAATGAGCTGATGATGTTGCCGCTTGTATGTATGATGATGAGCAAAGTGTTGGGAAATTAATTACAGAACGTGAAAATGCGTTGAAAACTGAAGGCACGCAACGCGAACCGAGCGAGCTATTGAACGCTTAATTTTTCTTCTTTCCGCGTGGCAATGGAAACTCCAGGTAACTGGGCATTACAAATTACGATGCCATATCGGCTATACGTGTGCACCAACTTATACTTATACCTATACTTGTAGTTGTAGTTATTGTGATATGTAGGAGGGCGGGGGACCCCGGATCAATAAGAGAGAGAGAGGGAGAGAGCAAGGAGCTGAAAACTGAAACTGGTTTGCTTAAAATTATTGCATGTTCGTTATGGGCTGTGTGCCAAGTGAGGCCGAAGAAAGAAGAAAGGTAAAAGGCGAGAAACCGAAGAGAAGACCAAAAACAAACTAAGCGCAGGTAACCTTTGGTGGCACCACCACAGGTAGACGTAGTGCTTGAGTGTGTCATGTGTGTGTGTGTTTGTGTGTGTTTGTGGCACATTACATTATACTACTATGGTTGCATACTTGTTGCTGCCACTCGTCTGGTTTCTCGCTCTCAGTTCTCTTCAGTTCTGGCTTCCTGCTGTGCCACATGAAATCGGTGGTTGGAACAAATTTCGAACGCAACAGGATATGCAGTTTTTTTTTTTTACTGTTTTCGGCGCGGCTGTGCCAAGGAAGCACCGAGTTCAAATGAAGACATAAAAAGTAGTTGACCCACATGGAATTGAACTGAGAGACCACGGCTAATGAGTTTGAAAAACGAAAACCCAAAAAGCTAGTGGGGTTGGAATTTTGCGGAAATGTGAATTCAAGTTCTGGCATAAAGACCTTTGCTATAGGTTTAAATAAATTGTAATATTGATAGAATGGCAATTTAGGAAAACTTCTATCTCTCATAATTAGCTTGCTTCGATTAGGTCTTTACTTTGCGCCAAGAATATTTAATAAACGATAGAATAGTTGAAAAGATTCTATCCCTGATCTGAACAGTCAGGTAAACCGGCAAATAAACTAAATGTTTTTCAGAAGCTGATTAAAAACATTACTCCTACCTAGTACAATCGATTGAAGCTAATCTTTAATTAAATTGGTTTCCTTAATAAGATATATTTATTAAAACTTGACAAATTACTTCACAGGTGCTGTTTTTTTTAGATGATTAAAGATTAAAAAGATTACTCCTACCTAGTACAATCGATTGAAGCTTATATTTATAAATGCAATCGTTTTATCAACTATTTTATTTTTAATTATTAAATATGTAGTTCAACATGTTTGTATAAAAGGGAAAACCGAGTAAAAAAATCGAACTTGTGCTTTAAAGTTTCATTTTCAGAAATGCAAAAGAATTAGACAACAAGGAATATGCTTAAAATATAAATTCCCTCATTTACCAAAAACTTCAAATTTAAATAAATTGATTAAGTTCGAATTGAAAAATAAGGAATTATAAAAATTAGTTATAAACTGCAAAAATTTAATTTAGATTTAAGTAGAAATAGAGCACGAGGTAGATTTGGAATCAAAGTACAAAATATTTCGAGTTTCATAATATAGAAATGAAAAAAAATACAAATTATTTATAAATTTAAGGTATTTTGTTAAGCAATATTATTCAATTCAGCTACAACTACAATGGAATGATCTCCAGATTTTGCCATATTTTAAATATTATTTTACCATCAAATTTTGACTTAGTCTATCGTAACTTTTCAGCCTTATTTCTCTCCACTTAAAGGTGAAATAAATGGATAGTCAGTGAAGAAATGGTGCAGAATTAGATTTAGATTGAAAAATTGAAATTAAAATGAAGGTAAAAAACGAATATGTTTTAGTTTAGAAGAATCAATACTCTAACACTAATCTAATCTGAATCTTGTTTCATATTAAAAAAGAGAATAAAATTATGATTTCAAATTGATGGAAAGATATATAAATTTCTAAAATACAGCATTTGTATTACTTATGGAAAAAAAATCGTTAATAGCTTGCCGTAAATGTCTTTTAAATGGAGCGCAAAATTAAAACTTTAAATAGTAACATTTATTTATAACCTAATTTAAAAAAATTATATTATATGTCTGACAAAACATATAGCATATAATATCAAAGCAATGGAATCAATAATTTCTAATAAATAATATGAACAAAGCCAACCAGCTATTCAATCCAATCTAATTAAATGCTAAAACAAATAATTTTACTCTACCTTTAAAAAAAAAACCACACATATCCAATGTTTGAAAAGTCTATATTTATGTCAAAAGTCTACAACTATGCCAGGAAGATGATGTTGCTTCAAATCAAAACCGATAACAATTGTATACTAAAATATAGTCTGCCAACAAACTTTGAAAATATTTTTAAATTTGTATTTGCATGTGGGGCCACAGCGTAACTTAATGTAAAAAGAAGAATAGTAAATCGATCAGATCTATTATTTAGAAAATAAAGCATTTATCATAGTTTATAACAAAATATAGAAAATGCTAACGAATTTATGATGTAACGAATAGTGAATTAAATTATTTTCCAATTGAATATTTAGAACATTGTTCTTTTCTTAAATAACATTTTCACTCTCTTTGCCAAAGAAATGAAGAAGTTTTCACGCATAATTAATTCTAATTAAAAATTAATCGAAGCCTCACTTTCAAATTACTTGTAGAAGATAAACTGAACTTACCTTGCCACCAACTTTCAGTTCGTAGCCCATGCCGCGTGGCGTCTTCAGCTGGACGGGACAGACGAAACCAATGTTGCGATGGGAGCCCTCTATGCCCAGGGGGTTCTTCCTGGTGGTCACTTTTGGGGCACTGCGCGTAGGCGCTGGCGTCGATGAGGTTGTGTTCTCGGCCACACACAAATCCTCGCCGCCGTGCACCGGAAACTTGGAGCACTCCAAGTTCTCGGGCCAATTGAAGTTGTAGGTTTTCATGAGGGTTTCACAAACACGCGCGGACTCGCACAACGAACGACACGGCGGTATGGGGCGCTCGAGAATGGTGCAGACGGGCACGTAGAGGGAGCAGAGGAACAACTGAAGGTCGGCGCTGCAGCCAATCTTGACGAGCGGCGCAAACTGATGGACCTCGAGACCGGCCTCCTCCTGCTTGGTGTGACCAATCAGATTGGGCATAATGGTCATGTTGTAGGGTATGTTCTTGCAGATGGATATGGTGATGGGCTCACATCGATTATGATGCGGAAAACCATCGGCGGAATTGGCGGTGGCGCTCAGTTCGCCACCGGTGGCTGCACTGGCGGCCAGGCCGCCGCCACTGCGATAATACGAACTGGCGTCCAGTGGTGCTTGATCGTAGCGCTGTACGGCCTGTATGGGCACTGGCGGGACCAGCGACAACAACAACAATAACAACAAGCGCCCTGTGACGTCAACGGGACACGACATTTGCAGGCCGAGCATTTTGTGGATTTTTGGCGCGTATCTGTAATTTGTTTGTTTACTCTTCTCTTGCTTTGTGTTTGGCAAATAATTTGTTTGACTTTTTTACACTTTGACTTGCCGATGCATATTGACACACAAACAAACACACGCACGCACACACGCACACGGCCGGCACAGATGGAAAAAAATTAAATATTACACAAATATTTAAACATTTTTGCTTTGCAGCTCTTGCTTATTACTTTGACGAATTTGATTTCAATTTTCGGCTCTTATGTATTTGCTTTACTTTTATTTTCCTTACTGCTTGCACTTGCACTTTTTTCTTGAATTTCCTTTTGTGTTGCTTCCTTGCTTAGGGATGTTGTAGTTGTAAGCAGTACCGGCGGCGGACAAAGTACCGTGCGTAAAATTCACGTAAAACACGAGACGCGCGTCCAACTTACGAATTTAAATTCAACCGTGAGCACAACCACATGGCAGGGCATACGCTGACAAACTGAATCTGAAGCAGCAGCAGCGGCAGCGAACCGAACGTAGGCACAGCAGAGCAGAGCAGAGCAATGGGAAAGCCACGGCAGCCATAGCCAACGCGACGTCTGTGTTGTCGTCACTTGTTTGCTTCGTGGCTTCGCGTCATGTCGCGTCCACTGGCCGCTCTCTTTTTGCTGAATATGTGAGAGAGTGCACTCAGCCGCTCTTCAGCTATGCTGCCGGTTGGGGCGACCTTGAATTCGTTGTACCAGCTGCGCTCACTGCAAGTGCATATGGCGTGGGAGAGCGGGACCGTGCTCTCTCCGACGCACAGCACAGGGTTGTTATGCCATTTGTTTTGGATGCTGTAACTGGCGCGCTTTTGATTAGATTTGGCAATAAAATATCAACAAATGGTTTAACTTGGTCATTATACTATTGTTGATCGAATATGCACAATTAATGCATATTGTGTTGCTGTATTTAGTGAGAAAGCGTGTCAGTAATTGTATTAGTTACTAGAATCCAACAAAAGCAATATGGAAAGAAAACAGACTGTAACTGTAAGACTTGTTTTGTTTATATTTTTTTTCTTTTTATAAAAAATATTATTTACATATTTCCATTTGGCTTCATTTTAAATTTAGCATTTATAAATTATTAATAAATAACAATATTAACAGAAGGTTCGAAGGGATTCAAAACAACAAAATTTCTAATCAGACAAAAAAATGTTTTGCACAGAAATTTAAAAAAAAATTTGCAACTGTTATTTATTGTTTTTTTTTTTTTTTTTTTTTTTTTTGAATATAAAAAATGTATATTAAAATATAGTTTTAAGCTCTAAAAAACTTTTCAAAGTCTACTTATAAAATATATAATACGTGTGTGCAAATTGTTTGAATGTTCAACCGTAAATAAGTTTTTAACATATTTGATATATATTTTGTATTCTAAAATAATGCTAAGAATTTCGGAGTAATTTACGCTAGTTTTATTACAATGCCGATTTTAATTAAATGTTTAAATATATTTTTTTATATACATATTAACAATTCTTAAAAGTCATAATATAAAGTAATCAAAAATTTGAATGCCCAAACAATTGTTATGGAAGTCAATTGTTTATAAAAGATCAAATTATTATTTTTTTTTAAACTTTTATAATACATACATATTATTAAACATCCTTTCAATTGTTTGCCTTTTTGAACCCTCTTTTTAGGTATAAATCTTTTTGATTTTTTACAATATATTTTTGAAAATCCCAAAAGAACGAATTCATATTTTAGGTTAAAATTATAATTTGTAAAGTGATTGTTTAAAAGGTTTTTATACTCAGTTTCAAACGGCTAAAACGGCATACTAAATTATTTGGACTTTTTTAAATACTCTATTTCCTTTTAAATTTTTAGTGGTACTTTAAGTGACTGAAACGCTATTATTTTTAGTTTGAAAACGAATAAGGTAGCAATGACCCGACTAATGTCGTATTACTGTACTCTTCTTCTCCTTTTAATAGCTAAAGAATAGCATATTTTAGTTCTATATTTTCTTCCATAATTGTCAGATCCAATACTCCTATTAGTTTCTTATGATATGGCCCCTCAACTCATCACTCCTTACTGTAGTTCTTCCAAATATTTGGGCTAAAGGGTTGCATGTGTCAGGCATAACCCACAACTATCTTTATTTATTAATAAATAAATAAATAAATCACCAAATTGTGCTGTCCATACATATAGCAGTTAGCATGATTTATATTATATTATACAAATATTTATATTAAAATAAAGATATTTAATAATATCATGTTATAATTTGTAAGAAAGATAAGAAAGCATCAATTTTTTTTTAAATGCTTGAATACTTTTATAATTGCTTCCATTTGTATATATTTTTTTTAATAATTAAGGTCTAAAATTATTAACTAGTCTTCCTTTTTTATATTTTAGCCTGGAGGTGCATTTTTCTTTTCTCTAAATTAGTAATTTGTAAGCTTGAAGAATTTCAAAAATTATTAATAAGTGCACATAAAAACCATTCCTAAACAGTTTTTTATTTGCTTGATTAGCTCAGAAAGGAAAGCTTAGAACGTGTTGCTTAGAATGCAAAGCTCAGAATGGATAACTCAGAATGTGCGGCTTAGAATGGATATCTTAGAATGGATAGCCTGGAATGGACAGAGCATACCTCTGAATGGACTCCCATGTGTTCTTTGGTGAGGATGACCTTTTGGAAGCGATTTGTGGCATTCCCCGTAGCATTACCTACCACATACGAGAGCATACTGAAGCATACCATATTTCCCATATTAAGTGTAGTTTATACTTTTTGTTTGTTAAACATGTAATTTCTCCGTTATGTTTACTTTCATTGCAACAGCCGCGAACGGGAGGGAGAGAGAACGGCTGGCAAACATGCGAGCAGAAAAAGAAATGAAAAGAAAACCTAAGGCAATTTTTCTTTCATTGCATTTTGTTGGCTGCCCGTTTCAGTTTTTTTTTTCTTTGCGGCATTTCTGCACGACTTTATTTCTACAACAACAATAATGGGACATTTCACTACGAGCCGCTTTTTTCGCTTTTCGTTCGCTGCTGGCCAGCCTGCACTTGAACTTAATTAAGTCATTAAGTTGCGTTTTAGCTGCGCTTTAGCATGGAGGGGGAACAAAAAAAAAAGAATTCAAACATATCTGCGGCATTTCTCTAATGACCCCAGCTGGGGGGAGTAAGGGGGGAAGATGCTGCTCTTCTCACTGCCCCTGCCTCTGCCGCCAATAAACTTGTTATTGACCAATAATGATGACATTAGAAGAAGGTGACAAAGAACACACAAAATGCCGCTGCAGTCGGCCTCTTCAACGGCAGCCATACCCTTTTGGCCGACTGCAGAATGCAACCTGCGGCATCTTCAGGTTTAACATATTATTGTGCTCTCGTGCTTGCTCTCCCCTGCCTCTCCGTCTGCCACTGCCTCTGCCTCTGCCGCTGCCCTTACCTCTCAGCAGCAACAAGAACGCGACCTGAAGCGGCAGCACTCTTGTGCGAACGATGGTGGGCGCGCACGCTGTAAACAAGTGTTACCGGTTTAGCCGGCATCGCGCTCTATGCCTTCTTCTGCTGCTCTGCCTACAGCGTTGTTGTTCTTAGTGCTGCTGCTGCTGCTGCTGCTACTACTGCTAAGTATGTCTGCGGCTTGTTTAATAAAAAGCGCCAATGCTGCGCCGAGCATAAAGAAAAAACGCCTCATTGTTGTTGCTCAGAGTAGCAGCGCCTCTCCCGATGCTGCTGCTGCTGCTGCTGGCTTTTTAGTTGTTGTTGTGACGCTGCCGTTGCCGTTTCGTTTTATGTTTACAAGTGAACGAACTTTGACGTTTCGTGCTTCAACCGTGGTGCTCTCTGTCTCCCCCCTCTCTCTGTCACTCTTCATGAAAGGCGCAGCAAAGGGGGTAGCACTGTAAAATGTATTGCTAGTAGGAATTAGCAACCACTTTCATGACTCTTGCAACATCTTAACTTCAAATATGGGCAACATTTAATTTAAAATGTTCAATTAAAAGCTTGTAAGTAGGCTGTTTTGTTTTCAAATTCTTGTTATGTGAATGCAGAATTAACATGTTTTATGTAGATTTAGTATCTCTTCAGAATTCATATAACATTTTTATTCATACCCCGAAAACATTATTTATCTATAAGTGCAAAAATTTCCATTTTGCAATTGCTTTCAGATATATTCCAGATATTGCACTCAGTATCTTTTGACGCCCAAAAAACTTTATTTTTCTCACGAAATTTGTAAATTTTAAATACCTTTCAGATATTGTTAAGCATTAGGACATCAAATATTATTTAATTTACTTCAATACGATAAACCTATCATTGTGCGAAATTGAAATCAACTGAAAGTTGCACTTTTCTATTATTTACAGATAATAATTATTATTTACAGATAATTATTTGCAGATAATCGAAATATGTACATACATATATGCACGTTATATAATGTTTATTTTATTTTTATTTTTTTTTTTTTTGGAACTCCATGAACAATGCCTAACTTGACATTTAACTACCATTTCACAAATATTGGCAAAAGTATTAAACTGCCTCTGATTGCAAAATTTGTTGACTGATTAAGTATCTAAGATTATTTTTCCACACGATGCAAACCCGAAAACTAACAGCCAACATTTTCAAGTCTTCAAAACTTTCTATTTAAAAAAAAAAAAAAGCGAAGGGCTTTGGTTCTGACTTCCAACGGAGTGGAGCAATATTTTACAAGAACTTATTGAAAAAGTACTTAGTATAAAGTATGCCTATTATATATTAAATATATTATTTGTTATATTATAGTGTTTATTTTATTCCTAAAAATATAAATAAAGAATATGCTTCGTAAAATAAACTCAACTCGATTGATGTATTTTTCAAAAAACAAATGTTTATCTGTATAACTGTACGAAAAAAACGTTGTCCCCTAAATAAAACCCTGACTACGCCCATGTGCCTCTCCCTATTCTTCTCTTTTCGGCTTCCTAACAATGTTAAAGCTCAGCGTTTGGCGCGAAAGTGTTTTTGTTGTTGTTCTCGTTAGTTGCTGTGTCTTTTCAAATGCTTATGTATATAGTATATGTATAATTTAATGTAATTCAAATATAAATGGCTCACAAAATGTAGATTCCAAATTGCTGATACGAGACAAAAACAAAATTGAATATTTGAGTTCGTGGAAACTAAATAAGCCATTGAGCTTAGTTTAGATTAGCGGCGAGGCAATCGAAGACACTATAAATTTGTTTCCATTTACCATATGCATAGATAATGACGCTACACTATTATGTATGTGGTAGTCGACAAAGCTTGTTAAATGCTGAATATATAATTAATATTATTTCTCTTATCTCTTCTACAGGTTTTTTGATTGCTCTACAAAGTCAAAATATTTATTTTAATCACAACGCCTACAAACATACATTTTTATGTGACTATCTATAAAATGTTTGAAGTGCTTTCTATTACCTTATTGACAGGAGGCGACAGTGCTTGGGAATATCTTTGAAAAGTGGCTGCTTTAAAAATTTTGAAAAACCATATGGCGTCGTGGCTTAGTTGGTTAAAGCGCCTGTCTAGTAAACAGGAGATCGTGAGTTCGAATCTCGCCGAGGCCTATTACTTAATAATCCAAAATGTTATGGATTATATTTTTACAATTATTTCTAATTTTAAATTACTTTTTCTTATCACGCAATCAAAAATATTTTTAGTTGAATCGAAAGTGAAGTTGAATTCATATAGAAATACTCCACGAAACAAATGTTTTAAATATACTATTTCTGATATACAGATTTTCATTTATTTTTCTAAGAATACCATTATGTTCCAAAGAAAAATCGGATATATCCAGATGGCGTCGTGGCTTAGTTGGTTAAAGCGCCTGTCTAGTAAACAGGAGATCGTGAGTTCGAATCTCGCCGAGGCCTATGTTAAGGAAAAGTAGTTGCCTACGCTTTTCTTCCTCAACTATATTTTCTTTCAATTTGTGAATGACAATCGCTAAAAGGACTTTTAATTAAATCTTACACACCCATGATGACCGACCAAGAACATTAATTTAAGAATAATACGTTCAGCAAATTAAGGAATTGTTGCTCCTAAATAGTCGACTGACAATTGGCGTTTATATAATATAAAGAGAACTTTTGTTTGGTTTCAAAAACACTGCACTGCCTTTCAAAAACAAGACACTTATTGTTCCATAATCGCAGTATTCGTCTGATTTAGCTCTAGTTTTTTTATAAATTGAAAATACCACCTAAAATTGTAATGAAGGCCATTCCAGAAAAAGAACTTTTTTGACTGCTTCGGAGATTGAAATAGGCGTTGGCATATTACATTGATAAAATAGATTTTAGTGAATAAGAAAATCCTTTAAGATATAATAGTGCGTATCATATTTGAAAACAGTAGTAGCTAAGAAAAAAAAGAACTGCATTTGCTTTACAAAATTATTTATTATGAAATTCAGTTTATAAAGACTGTAGCGGCTTTTATAAACAAATTTCAAAAAAAAAATAGTAGCCCTGAATTCTAACATAGAAGCCGTTCTGTTTTAATTCAAGAAAATGTCAAGAGGTAGCTGAAACATATTTGCTTACAGTTCAGTTGTGTTTCCGAGCTCAAGCAGCTCGGACTTAAAAAGTAAAATAAAAAACGTAAAAAAAAATTTATTTTGTTCAATTTTGTAATCATTGCAAATTTTTGTAAAGTTTCTAAATGTAAAATGTTTTGGCAGAAATATTTTTAAAAACATTTCTTAGGTTAAGCATAAAGTGATATTTTTTTATTCGAAATTTTTTACTTTTATAAAAAAAATGATTGTTAGAACAACATGACAATCGACTCGACACTCTTTGGATAAAACACGAAATTAAAATTATATATATTATTCAATACGTAAACGAAGTAATTCCACCGCTTTGCCGCTATAAATAGGAAATGGATATTTCCAGTTTTCAAAAACACAAAAATGAAATACACAAGCAACAGGTAAGCCGAAAAGTAACGTTTTTCTGAACAAACTCTGGATTCAGTTGCTCTTCTATTGAATAGACGGAAAATTAACTATTAAGAGCAGTAGTGGGAGCGCCGTAGGATGGCCGGCGGAGTATCGAAGATGGAAGTCGAAATCTAGACACAACTGAACTCGAAACGAGACTACATAATGGTAAACCAACTTTCTGGCCATGGAAGTCACATAACCACCAGACTCAATAGCTATCTATCGAATAAATCTGATTTACACTCAATTTTGGTATAAGTAAATGATAATGATTTATGAAAAGCCGTTACTTATACCTTCAGAAGCATGTAAGTACATACTTTCCCCTTTAACAAATTTGTATTCATTTATTTAATTTTTGTTATTCTTTTAGAGGCCGATCGAGATTAAAAGGAGAATACTTCTCTCCACCCAAATAGTGTTGAAAAGCGTAGAAGTTTGATGGCGAATTTATGTTAGGACTTGTATTTGACTACTGAATGAAACACCGCTATATATTTTGATACTATACGAACCCTATATATTTTGATACTATATGAACCCTATATATTTTGATACTAAAACCAGAGTTGAAGTTTGTTTTTGTTTTCAAAAGCGGCAAGGGTCCCACGACTGCCAACTCCTTTTTATATAAGGTAGTCTGCTGTGTCGCTACTCGGTTGACTTAACTGCTCAGGGGTGTAACGTTATTTCCTTTTATTACAATTCCAAAGTTTGCCCTACAATTTAATTGTATATGAAATTAAATATACAATTAATATCAAATTGTTTCGGCACACTCATAAAGTGTTTCGGAGTGTTTCACAGTCGAACTTGTTTACTTATCGAGCCAAGGATCGAAAAGAAGTCTCGATTATTATCGATATCGCGGCGTCCCTCGTCGACAGTGTTGCCATAATTTTGTATGTATATCCTCATATGTTCTTTTTTCGTAGCTTTTATTGCTTAGTTGGCATTCGGCAAAAGGCCGAAGTTTTTAAAGCGATGGTCAAGCAAGTTGAGGGTCTGTTCTGAGTTGTTTTCTTTCCATACAATGGACGATATCGTTCCCAAAACAACGAAGAATTTTTTTTTATTAAACATTGTTAAATGTTAAGCGTGTAATACATATGCGAACTATAGTATAAGGATATGCCTATTTTTAAAATCTGAAACGTAATATAAGAAATAAGTCTATGAAGAGTGATTCTTCTGAAAAATAAATTAACTTTATTTTACCAAAAAAAAAGGCGTTTTCTATCCGAGTATAAACAAAATTAAACCAAGCCAACCAAATCCATAATATTGTGAAGTCTAATTTGAAATATTTACGGTTATAAACTGAGCCAGTACGTAAAAAATAATCTGAAGGTAAACTAAAGAAGTAGGGTGCTTTAAATTGCAAATACTGACAAGTCAATGCTCCGAGGATCTAAACTCTAGAGCTACTTTAGAATTTTTCTGTAATTTATTTAAATTTATTGAAAAACAGCCAAAATTGTGCATAAAATCGGCGTGAAGGCATTAACAGATTACTTTTAAATTTAATCTGAGAATATTTCTGGAGTTTGATGTCATTTTAGCTTGTAAAAACGCTTCTCTTCTTCTCTTTTCTCTCCACAGAGCATTTCTATAACAAATTAAAATGCCACACGAACTGTTTTTTTTTTTAAATTGAAAAACTAAATTGGAGACATTCAAAATAATAACAATGTGTAGTCTTAAATCGCTCAGCTCCCTAAAATCAGCTTTAGCTCTCCATCAATCGGTGATCACTTTTAATTAGTTCTCACAAATGCAATGTGGTGAGTTTATTTTTAGAATTAATTTTCTTAGGAATGAATTATTTATTTTGTTGATGTATACCACTGTTTCTCTATTGCATACCCACTTAGCTTTCAGTTCTGCCTCTTGGCCGATGAAATACAATTCCATTTGTAGCTAACAAATCAATCCAAGCATATTGCAGGCAAGTATGTTTTAAGCCCAAACATAAACAAGCGAGCCCTCAGGAATGGGAATGAGAACTGAAAACACGAGCCAGCTCCCAATTGTAGCAACAAGGGTTAAACATGGCAGGCGTCTAATGCAAAAAGGGCTGCCATAAGCTAAAAAGGGTTTAGTTACATAGAAAAATGTATTTACTTTAGCCTTTATCCCTCAAAACACACATGCACACACCACTTATGCCCGAAATGTAAGCAAAAAGAAAAAGGAAAAGAAAATACCAATGGGAACCCATATAGACATTTCAGCCGTGTGCCTTAAATCACATTAGTTGACCAATTTGTAGTGCCCACTTGGCTTACACAGTCGAAGTCGTAAGATGTTGGAGCCAAATGCCAGTCACGTTGTCGGGCCAAGAACTTTTGCTGTGTGGGGACTAACCAACGACTGCATTGTCTGGTTGTGGCTCGCTTTTCCAGGACTTCGAGACTTTGGCGTGCTCTTTAAAGCCAACTAATTAGATTTGAAGGCACGCGCTCAGTCACATGAGGCGTATGCTTAATGCCAGGGCGTAAAAGCACACAGACAGAAGTAAAATATCTTGATTATAAACTTTGCGTTTGTGACTGAGCATTTTTACAGCTCATTTGTGCCCCACACATACACACACACACGCACATATATACAGACATACATACATACATACATAGATAGATAAACCTTGCCACGTATTCATGAAAAAGGAAAACTCGAAAACTGTTGCTGGCCTTCATAAATAATGCATTATTTACTTAAAACAACAATAACAAAACAAAAGAAAAGAACAGCAGCCATAAGCTCAATTAAATTTTTGAGAAATGACCGCCGACGTGAGCGCTGGAATTACACTTGGAGAAACACGAGGCAGGAAATAATTCGTGAATGCGTGAACAAAATAAGAGCGTGTTGCTCCAGTTCTTTAAAGCAGCTCCCTATTTTTTAAATACACTTTGCCAAATATTTGCTTGATTTTTGCTGCAGCAGTAAAGAATTGGCTACTTGACCAGATTGAGTCCAGATTCGAGTCCTTATGACTGGATGCGACTGCTACGTCCGCTGCTCTGCGTTGCATCATCACCTAAATCTGACAACCGTCGGCTCTCTGAAGAGCAGACAACCGGAGAGTAAGAATTATTTTAAACAACTATTATTTATTAATATCAATTATACATATATAAACAAATATTTAGAGAACTGAAACTTTGTTAAGAGTTATGTTTTCTCATTAAACGTGTATATATATTAAAGCTAAGGCAAATTGTAAAAATTCCTAATAGTAATTGTAATATTCAATGTTAAATTCAACTGCATTAAACTTATAATAAAACTAAATTAAATTAAATTAACAATTAGCCGCATTAATTAAAAGTAATCTTTTACTTGTAACGCTAGGATAAGTTAATAAAATAAATAATAATAATTAAATAAGTACAAAGGTGTAAAAAACTAAAAATTAATAAATAATACCAAAATAATATATATTTTATCAATATCTAATCAAATTCTAAGTCGCCCAAAACTGTAAAGAATTCTAAACTGCCGACCCCCGAAAACTGAAATACTTGGCTTGTATACTTCGAAATTTGTTTGGGGTTTCTTTTCTATGGCACGTTCCCTAAAAAATTACTTATTTTAATCTAATTAAATTTTCAATTTGACATAAAATTTGTCCTGATTTTTATATATTTTTTTTCAAGTGTACGGCCATTGGTCTGGCATCGCGCTTCCTTCTGGACAATCAATCAAAGAGAAGCATCCTAGGCCGAAGCTCGTTACAAGTCTCACTCAAAAGTGGTGAGTGGAAGGAGGGGGGGGGGGGGGGGGGGGGGGTTGGGTGCTCCCATGAAATTGTGGAAGCCTGCTTGTTGTTGGCCAAGAGTTCAGGCCAAAAATTAATTGCATTTCAAATTTGCATTTACTTATTGCCTAGAGTTTCTCGCTGCCTTGCTCTGTAGAAATGTAACACTTGCCCCCCCTCCCCCTCCCGCTGCCCTGTCACCCGCCCCCTCTCCATTACTCCCGGAAATTTGCGTTTGCAATTCGCCGCTGGCACACACGGCGTATGTGTGATAAATGCGCGCAGGCAGCGGAAATGTGCGCGGTTCCACCTACGCGCTTCGCATTCTGAGCCAAATTTATGCGCCTAGGCTGGCAACTTTTGCGGCGCTCTATGGCCAATTTGTTGTTGTTGTTGTTGCTGTCGTTATAGCCGCTGGTGCTGGTGAAAGATTTCGATAAACTTTGTTTGAAGTACAACGATTTTTCTCTCTCCTCGTGCACTGTTCGTTGCGCCCCTTTTCAACTTTGAACTGCATTTGATTTACATGCAAGTTGTGGGTTTCTTGTTGTTGCTGTTGTTATTGTTGCTGATGTTATTGTAGAGCTACGGCTGTCGACACGTCTGTTAATTGGCATTGTGAACTTAACGGTTTATAGTATGTACGTGTAGCTGACTATGTGTAGGCGGATTCTGTTGACTGCTCGCCTTGGTCGCTGTGGTTGGCTGCTGAATTAATTGAATAATTGTTGTGGGCGTGCGAATGGATCAACAGTTAGCCAGCCAGCATGGATGTGCGGCTAAAGGAACTTTGACATCTGGCTGTAACAATTGGATTTGCAAAATGAAACTTCACTTTTACTTTGTCTGCTAATAGTCTCTATACAGACAGAACTGGAACTTTAAACACTTCCACACAAAAGAGCATGGCACAACTCTGCGCTTATTGTGCTTTATTGAACTGTTAGTTTACAGTTAGTTAGCCGGTTTTCAATAATCAAACAGAATGGAATCTGGACTAGTTAGTCAGGCCGTTGTTTAAAGGCAATTATTTCAACAATATTCCTAAAACGTCGGTTCTACTCGATTGCCAAACAACAAGCTCATTTCACTTAAAATCAATTGTTTTTATGACAACGTTATGATATCGAGCTCTGATAATGTCGATTCTGGGCATATATAAATCAAACACATCGATAAAACTCTGTAATCACTCACATTGCTTGTATATTTGCAATTTATTGCCATAATTTCTATAAAAAAAGTGCTTGAGAATTTTATTGACGTGCGTCATCTTGCTCTTTTTAAATCGCGCTCTATTTTACTTAATAAAGTTAATTAAATTAAAAAATAAAGGAAGAGCTACAGTGAGAAGAAGGCTAAATATGTCACACAACAGATTTTTATAAATATAAAATTTAAATAAAACTCAACTCATAGCTTAAGTTGTTAATGTATTTTTCTTTAAGTTTAATTGTTAACTTACTGCAAATAGTAACAGTAGCAGTATAATTAAAGTATATTAGGTAAAAAAAAAAAAAAAAAAATGTTTTTAAAGGGAACGAATAAAATTAAATTATATTAACAAATAATAATAAATAAGTTTGTTAAATATTTGCTTCGGTTGTTGACATTTATGTCTATTTTAATTAGAGAATGAAAATTAATTTCCGATTTTAATTCTTTTAAAAATCAGCTTTCAACGCTATATAAATGTTTTCTATTGAATATTTATTTAATAGCCATATTTCTATAAAAAAAAAATATGTTTTTCGTTTACAGAAAATGTTCACACGTTTCCGTTAATCAAACTGCATTATGATGCT